GGATTACAATGAATGATATACTGGCAGGATGAGATAATACAGACCAAGTCTAATGAAGCATGGGCTATAGACACTGATAGAAGCTATAATAATGATATGAGGGGATACAACACTAACTTGTATGATAGACATAACAATGAGACATGGCACACCTGTGAATCTACATGTACTACTACAGAGGTATTATAGTATAGTCTTTTAGTGTAAGAGTAGTAGCCAGATCAAAGCCACCACAAAAGTGGATAGCCTGACCTAACTGCATGTAAAAAAACTACACTATAACTACATGTACATTGTATATACAAATTATACAACCCTTTCCTTGAATTCCTTCACTACATACATGTGCATGTACTGTACATCTACAATGTACAATGTAGATAAACATGTACACAACAATTATAATGCACTTACATACATGTACATGTAGATGTACATGTATGTATAATGTTGTACTCACAATAACTTTATACGAACAACCACATGTGTACATGTACATGTACATACAATTGATATCCTTACCAGAACTAACTGATCCAGTTCTCTTTCTCATCACAGGACTAACACTTCTATCCTGACCACCACCTCCGGCAGGTGGACCCAAGTCACCACCACGATTAGAGGAGGAGGAGGAGGAGGAGGAGGAGGGAGGAGGGGGAGCTGATGGATTTGAATGTGACAAACTCGGGCTTGCTGCTGGCAATTTCTTGTCCTTCCGTTTGAGTAAGTCTCCAAGTTTTGAGCTCTTTTTGTCCTTCCCTTTGGATCCCTTGCTCTCCATTGCTATGCTGTGACGGAGCGTCCGATGAGCAAATGCTATCTTGAAAGCCTCCGACAATAACTGACTCACCTCATTAGCCTATTGACAAAAGCAATACATGTACATGTACACTAGTTCTAATTGTACATGTTACATGTTACATGCACATGTAGGTCTAATTCTAGCTTTTAGGATAAGGGTAGAGTGTATGTGTAAATGTACATGCAAAAATGAACAATGGATAAAAAAATATAAAAAATAGGTTGGAGAAATTGAGTATAATAAAACTGTTGATTACATGTACAAGTGTGCATACATTGTACATGTACATTACACAATCAAACAGGTGCTGGAATACATGCACATGCACATGTAGTAAGCAAACCATGACTGCTAGCCTACATGTACATGTCCTTACATGTTCAGCTGATGGTAAACCAAAGGAGTGACAGTAGACAACATCATCAGGTTGATCCAGTATGGCACGTGTTACCATTGCAAATAATGACATCTTTGGTACAGCAGTGCAATAGGTTATCTTCTTGAGAGGGTAAGCCATGAAAAGCTCCTAAGAAGAAAGAAATAATGATTTGATTTGGTAACAAAGTAATAAATAATAATTGGCAGAGTGACATGTACTGTAAACCCTAGAAATGTAATAGCCTTTATGTGTAATGTTTTTGCAATGGTGGTATTAACGTTCATTAATTTTAACAATTTTTACAACTGAGGTAACTAATTGCACATTGATAACGTTCATTAACTTTAATTAAACTAGGCCAATAGTTAAAATAGCTAAAATTAATAGATAGTGACTACTGATTGATTTACAACTGTACATTTACATGTACATGTATTCCTGTTGCTTTCTGAAAGTATAGTACATGTACATGTAAAGTAAAGAAAATACATGTAAGCTCCAGGAATTGAGAGTGAATTCTATTAGTTTACCTTGCTCTTGTATATCTTGACTGAGTGTCTGTTAATGATCATTGTAGCTGATATTGGATTACCCACATTCTGTAATGAGACATAAATAAACTAACAGTACAAGAGTACATGTACAGGGAAATACACTAACAGTACTATACACTTAAGTGTACATGTACATGTATATGTACATGTACATGTATATACAGTGTATGATCTGTGCCTGTACAGTACTTTTACATAGGGTGTACAGTATGTATAGCAGGTAATTTTGGAAGGGATTAAATTTGGCGAATTTGGTGTTTTGATAGTCATTCACCAAAATAAAAATCCGCCATTTTAAGCAATTATACGATGCTCAATGGCACGTGGCAACAAATTCGCCAAATTAAAATCCGCCAATCACTAAAATTTAGCCCCTCCAAATTTACCCACTATACGGTATGTAATGTATACAGTATATTTACATGTACAGTGTACAGTGTATGTACTTTTGGGTTGATAGCGTTAATCCTTTCCCAGACAAACCCGGAGATAGCTCTCTGGAGATCCTTACCAGAGAGACCAGGAGGAGGGTACACTTTAAATGATCCAACATACTAATAACAATAAATAAATAATAATAATAATTATTATTATTATTATAATTAATAAAGAAACAATAACCAAAATTAATGGTATCGAGTTCAAGTACAACAAATTCTACAATAATTATACTAATAACAGATAATAAGTATATTAAATTTTGCAAGACTAATAGTGAATCAGATAATTTAGTACAGAAAATTAATAGGCTTTATCAAATAATATACAATGTACTGTAAGTAGTAACAAGAACAACTTTAATCAAATATCTTCACATTTTAAAGTTTTTTAGTAAAGTTTATTACTAAATATATTTTTAGAAAATATCTGTTGTTGTAAAATGAGTATGCCACATATAGACATGATGAAACTAGCATATGCATCAACTTGTAATTCCACAACTCATTTACATGAAAGAGTAAAGATTGTATTACCAGGATATGCTACTTCCAGTTGCTACCATAGTAGGAATGGGGAATTACTCACAAGACAACCTTGTACAGATCATGTGTAACATGGGAATATTCATATTGTAGCAAGTGATGGGCCAATAATAGTACAATATTCTAAATGAGCTCACAAGATATTTCCCATTGCACTCATTAAGGATATTTACAAGTAGGTACAAAGTGTGTCAAATCATGCCAATAATGCAAAATTGGTAATGATGACCATAATAAATGATGCATCCAAAATAGAACATAGTTTAATCACTGAACCAATCTAGACTTCAATCCATCATCATTACTAAGTATTATAAGTTCCTGAACTCCAACCTTATACTGTACTATAGGACATTATATCATACAAGTAC